TTTTCCCCATTTCCTATCTCCGAGCAAGATCTCAGCTTCTTTCCAGTCAGTGACTTCGTCTCCACCGTTATGATCCTGGATATCTGAACCACCATTTTGCCCTCACATCTTCCCAGTTCTCCTTCCCCACGGTTATTCCTCTGGCCCATCACATGCCCACAGCCATTGCAGTTTGCCTCCTACGAGTTTTGTTGCTGGCTTTTTTTTTGCTCTACGTTCCGACCGCGAAAAATTAAGACCATTTGTACAGGCAGCTCTTTTGTTATTTCTGCTGGCAGTTAAAGAAAGATCTCCTCGCTTCGTTGTGGTTGTGAGCAGCATTCTGGAGAATGGGGGCGTGCAGGTGCAGCCTTGTAAAGTATTTTTTTGGAGAATACCCCCTTTTGCATATAAAGATCCAAGAAATTACTTTTTGCAAAGTATCCTTTGCAGGGACTTCCTGAACAACATGTGCAATCGTGGCTCGCGTTGCAAATTCTTTCATCCGCCGAGTATCATCCGGGAACGAGCGCAGCGACAGCAACCCGAGGGCATCGATTACCAGTTCTGCATCGACTACCAGGTAAAACTTGTGGGCGATTTGACTTAGCTTGAAGCAACGATGATGCTATGCCGCTTCTTGGACTTCGAAATAGAATTAGGCGTTTTATCTGGTTACGTTGACGATACGATATTTTGATGAGTTTTAGTCACTTTTCGTCGCAGAAGCTGTTTTAGAAGGGCGCAGCAGCGGTCTCCTTAGAGTACGTACAGCAGAAACATTGTGCGTAGCCTTATTCCCCCTTCGCTCTGCCCGTACACTTTTTCCTTGTCCTCCCAGGGTCCTAGAAAGATCTTGCGATATCCTTCCAAGAAAGTATGTAGATTTGTGCTGTTATATTCCGATGGCGAGATCAAATACTTTTTCGAATTAGGGGAGCTGTGTGGTGTGTGTGTACGTATGTATGTATGTGTGTGTGTATGTGTGTTTGTGTATGTGTGTATGTGTATGTATGTGTGTGTATGTGTTTTATGCGTTTTTTTGTGTGCTTGGGTGTATACATGTGTTTGTATGTGTGTGCGTGAGTCTGTGTAATCGATGATGAAATACAGTTCATGTTT